GGAGGCCGTTTCAACCGCCTTTGTCCTCGTCTCCAGATTCCTTCCACAGAGACCCCTTGGACCGCTCCTCAGCCTCAGCTCTTATAGGAGTGCCAGATCTGGAGAGCCCGTTGGGTGTTGCTGTTAAGAGCGCAGACTCTGATCTGGGAGAACCGGGTTTGATTCCCCATCCTCCACATGCAGCTGCTGGTGTGACCTTGGGTCAGTCACAAGTTCTCTCAGAGCTGCTCTCTCACGGGCAGTTCTGGAAAGAGCTCTCTCAGCCCCACCTACCTCACAGGGTGTCTGTTGTGGAGAGGGGAAGGGAAAGGAGATTGTAAGCCGCTCTGAGACTTCTTTGGGTAGTGAAGGGCGGGGTATAAATCCAATCTCTTCTTTTGTTCTTTTGTCAGTTTATTTGTATGTATTTGGTATTCTAAAACAGTCTGTGTATCTTGAGTGTCTATGTATCTTGAGTGTTTGTACTAATAGTGCACAATTTTTCAGTCCGAAACTTCATCTGGGAGATGATTCTTTGTAGATGCAGAAACTATTTGAGATTATTTGAGGTAAATGGTATTTACATAGTACTCTAGGGCATTCTCTACAATGATTTTACATGCAATGGATTGCTGTATAGTTCCTTTGTGAGATTATTAAGGTGTCTAATACAGTGTTCCGTGCGCCTCGGTGTTTAGTCATGCCGCCACATGACCACGGAAATGTCTTCAGACAGCGCTGGCTCTTTGGCTTTGAAACGGAGATGAGCACCGCAACCCTAGAGTCGGACTCGACTGGCTTTCGAGCAAGGGAACCTTTACCTTTACCTATATAACCTTTTAATACTGTGCCAGATATCTTGGTACAAAAATGTGATTCTCAAGGGTTCCTGTTTTGCAGTTATATAGTCTCTTTGAAGCTGATTTTACTGATTTGGCAGTTACTCAGTCTCTATGTAACTTAGCTCTGAAAGGCTATTTTCCTGGGTAGTGTTTGTTCTCTCTCTCTGTGTGCACTGTCGCTATTTTGATATAATCATAATGGGAATAGGAGGCAAGAATAGAACATAGCATCTATGAAATCACAGTTTTATCTTCACCTATATTGTTAAGCCTACCCAGGTTTGGATAAAACATGGCGTTTGGGAAGACCTTTTTCACACAGGACAACAAAGAAGACATTTACATATTGCTTTTTATATATGGATTTCAGATAAATATTTGTGGGACTAATTAATTTTTTTCAAGCGGAAGGCTCACAGCAGTCTTCATTGAATACTTTCCAGCAGTTTACACTGAATACATTCCTGTCCTGAAACTTCATAGACTATAAACCCAGTCCACGAATTGGTACCCTGAATAGGTAGCTGTTCTTTTATTATCTGCTTGGCCTCCCATGTGCCCAACCCATGTCATTAAGTGTAGATGATCTGTTACAGGTGCGTCTTACCCATGAAATCAGACACAAGAACATAGTAACATTTCACGAATGGTATGAAACGAGCAACCATCTCTGGCTTGTGGTAGAATTATGCACAGGTAAGAGGATGTTAAACCAATAGGTTGGGTATAATTCCACTGGGGTAGTCATGTTAGTCTGTCACAGCAAATTAAAAGTCCAGTGGTATGTTAAAGACGAAGGAAGTTTATTCCAGTTTAAGCTTTTGTGAGTCAGACCTCACTTCCTTTGCTGCATAGGCCTGCATAATCGTTTTACAGATACCTTTATAACCAAAGTAACAAAAGGGGAGGCAAATGGAGGCATCCAACTCCTCATCTTCTCTCCCCCTTTTTGCACTTCTGTATATCAGAGGTAGTGAGGTTTCAATCCCAAAAGCTTATGTTGGAATAAACTTTGTTAGCATTTAATGTGCCACAATTTCTGCCCTAAATTTGAATGCTTGGATGCAAAGCACTGCTTGGGCTTGTGTGAGGGGCTTGTGTTAGCTGAGTACAATTCCTGACTCTGTTTTCCCCTCTTTAAACAGTTGATTGTCCTATAGCACAATTTTTTTTTATAAGCTCTCCTTAGGCTTCAAATAAATTTGCTATGTGGCATGAGGAACTCTTTATGAAAAACAAGTCTGCAGCTCACCTGGGTTTATTCTTTATAGTTCTTTGGATTCTGGCCAAAGTTATTATTTTTTTATTGACAATGAAGGCTGGAATCCAAAAGGCTATTTAAGGTGTAACCTAGACATTGGGCATGCAAGTCAGAATTTTTATTTTTTTACTTTGAAAAACTGCTTGTAAAGTTCCAGTTCCAAAAGATGCTATGCATCTTGCTGCTGGGTCTGTGTGTGTAACTGTGAATAGAAGAAGAGTAGGTTTTTATACCCCACTTTCCCCTACTTTAAGGAGTCTCAAAGCGGCTTACTATCACTTTCCCCTTCGTCTTCCCTCAACAGGCACCTTGTGAGGTAGGGCTGAGAAAGTTCTGACAGAACTGTGACTGGCCGAAGGTCAATCAGCAGGCTTCATGTGGAGGAGGAGTGGGGAATCAAACCCAATAAGAGTCTGCTGCTCTTAACCACTGTGCCATGCTGGTTGACAAACTGATTGAGAGGACCAAGTCCAAAGCTTTCTTGGGGATGCAGAATTACTAAGCCACTTCTTTGAACCTAGTATGAAGTTTATAAGCCTGTTATCCCAAAAAGAATCTCAGCCTGTGATTCATCTTATTAGGTGATGTGCTGAGTGAGCTTAGGTTCTGATTAATTTTTGATTTTATATACTGAATACATTCTATAGAAGAATAAAGTACTATAATTAGAGAGGTTGAGGCAACTGGAATATTTACCAGGTTAACATTTTTCGGTTTTATGAATAGGTAATATGTGTTTATATGCCAACAACTGTGGGGGCATTTATAAAGCTGTGTTGTGAACCGCCCTGAGCCTGCTCATAGGAAGGGCGGTATAGAAGTCTAATTAAATAAATACACAGCTCTAAATATTTAGAAAATGTCTAATGTAATGCTTATAGTAGTCTGTTTGCTGCAGAAAGGTAAAATTATCTGTAGTAATAATCTGTTAATATCTTTATAGGTGGGTCACTGGAAATGGTAATCGCTCAAGATGAGCATCTACCTGAGGCTGTTGTACGAGAGTTTGGTATTGATTTGGTTACTGGACTCCATCATGTTCATGACCTTGGAATTCTTTTCTGTGATCTTACACCTGGAAAGGTAAAAGCATCTTCTGAGATGATGACTGCAAACAGCTGTGTTAGTCTGTTGTAGCAAAATGAAACAAATATCTAGTGTCACCTTAAAGAGTAACAAATATATTTCAACATTAGCTTTCTTGGGTCACAGTCCACTTTGTCAGGTGGATATGTGAAGTGGTAGATTGATACCTGAATTCCCGAAACAGTGTTAAATCTCTTTCAATACCAAAGAAATGACTAATTAGTGGGTATGCCAATAAAGGCTATTGGAAATTGGAATCGGACTAATTAGTATTTATGTCTGTGTTTTGATATTACAGATTCTTCTGGAAGGACCTGGAACTCTGAAATTCAGTAACTTCTGCCTGGCTAAAGCAGAAGGTGAAAACTTAGAAGAATTTTTTGCTTTAATAGGAACAGAGGAGGGAGTAGGTGACAGTGGTGAAAACACAGGACAAAGAAATCAGAAAAACAAACTTAAAGGTACATCCCAATATGAAAAGCTCTTGATAACGAAAAAGAATGAGCTGGATCCAAAGTTTCTGTTCTTCTGGTGATGAAGCCTTCCTCTGATGCAAGGAGCCTGCTTTTGCTAGAACATGCATTTTCCACCAGCAGAAAGTTCCTTGCATCTGAGGAAGACTTCACCAATAGAAGTATGGAAACATTGCATCAAGTGCAGTAATATATAATTAAAGTTGCATAAATGGTCTTTTAAATAATTCTGTGGCTCTCTGTTTCTTTGAAAGTACCTCTTGGGTGAACGGAGAGTTATTGCTCAACACAAAGACAAACCAAGCTGTTGTGCCCCCTAGAAGATAGCGCAATGTACTTGCTTAGCTGAGAGTTGTGCCAGGTGACAGTGGATACTACATTAGCCCAGGTCTTTTGTGGTCTCCCAGTACACTTCTCCCTTCTTGGTAACCTCACTGTACAGCTATTGTAAAGTGCAAATCAGAGGTGACATTTTAGGTTTCCAGATCTGAGTGCCTGAATGTCTACATCATCCCCATTTTGTGGCTGCTTGTTCTGTGATGAGTTGAAACGGCTCTAGGTTGTGTTGCAGTCCCATCTGTACAAATCAGAGGTGACATTTTAGGTTTCCAAGTCTGGGTGCCTGAATGTCTACATCCTCCCCATTTTTTGGCTGCTTGTTCTGTGATGAATTGAAACAGCTCTAGGTTGTGTTGCAGTCCCATCTGCATGATTTAGTTATTTAGAAATGACCATCTTCCTTAAAATCCAGTGGGGGTTGCAGTAGAAATGTTAGTGACTTTTGAAGGCTATCTGTTGCAAATGTGGAAAAAATAACTAGGTGTGCACAAAAAAAATCAATGTTTTTTGGGTTTGGGTATATTGAACCCCAAAAATACTGGTATTTTCTAATATTCCTGTATCTCAGTATTTGTATGGTATTGAGATTTGGGAAATATTTGGGATTGCCAATTTTTTCCAGCTCTATTATACCTTTTAGGGACCTTTATAGTCAATGGTTCCCATTGGTGGTAATGGAGAATCGATCTGGGAGTAACTGAGGCTCTAGTGGGGCTATTTTTTGGGGTAGATGCACCAGATTTGCTGCATAGCTGCTGATGCCTCTCCTAAAAAAGCCTCCCCCCAAGTTTCAAAAAGATTGGACCAGGGGATCCAGCGAGCCCCAGAAGAAGGTGCCCCCATCCTCCATTGTTTCCAATGGGGGAGGAAGGCATTAAAAGGGACATGGTCCCTTTAAATGCCTTCTCCAAGCCACAGTGTGACTCCATACCATAGTGAGTGAACTCCCAAGCCATGGTACAGAGTGTATTCCAAAGACACTTAAACTTTAAATGCCTTCTCCAAGCTGAGAGTTCGCTCCTGTAACTGCAGCAGTATTTTCAGGATTTTTTGGCACAGCCATTTTTGAATAGCTGAATCACTAGCCCCCTTGGTGATCAGCTGAGAAAATACCCCCTAAATACTGATAAGATATTTATTGGGTATTTTTTTTCAGTTCAGTATATACCAAGTGCACACCCCTAACAATAACTAATGATGACTTTTTTTGCAGGTTCTCCAGTATACATTGCTCCAGAAGTGATAAAAGGAGCTGACTTCTCTATAGCCAGTGATCTGTGGTCATTGGGCTGTTTGCTGTATGAAATGTTCTCAGGTATTTATATAATATAATTATTTGCATGTTATGCATATTAAAATACCTTGGTAAATTATGATGATTATATTTTAAGTGTTTTTAAAATCCAGATAACTAAAATGTAGCTAGGTCACTAGAAGAAGGTGCTTGTATGTACAACATAAGAGGTATGTAGTAAACAAAACAAAAAACAGAATGGTGAAAAACAGAATGGTGAAGAGTGTGTGTGTTTTGAGAATGAGAGAGATAATTCTACTAAGGAGAAGTATGTCAGTGAGGGAACTCTTTTTCTGGCAAGGTATCTACAGGTCAGTGTTTTCTTATTCAGTAATCAAAGATGTATATTAGTATAATAAGTTCTCATGTTGTCACCAAAACTGTACTTTTCAGTTATTTTGAAATTTATGTTCGCTTTGTGAAATTTGGCCCAAACTTATTTTACATTTATAGGGAAACCTCCGTTTGTCTCAGAAAACCTCACTGAATTATCAGAAAAGATTGCGCATGAAGATCCTTTTCCACTTAGACAAGAAGGTAATGCTATGTGCAGATAAATGATTTAATAAACCTGATGAAAAATAATCCAGTCAGTTTCTCAAGTGTGATAAAAACGTGTATGGGTTTTATTGCTTAGAAGAAAATCTTTCAGATACTTAATATGTACTCCAGTGATGGAAAATGTCTTAAAACTTCCTTCCTGCTACTACACCTTCCTTTTTCTGGTGTGTAATAATCATTACATTCAGATGTCACCTTTCTACCAATGCTACAAATACTGATGAAAGATTAGCGAGTAATTGGATATTTATTACAAACATGAAAGTCTTGGGGTTTGTTTTGTAAAATTTCATTTGAAAGAATGGGAAGAATCAGTCCTTTCTGTTAAAGAAGACAGTTGGAAAAATGTGCTAAAGAATGGCTATGAAGTTCAGCCTCTGTGCCTGCATAGGACCCAAAAGGGTCTTATGGCACCAATAGATTACTGAGTGTGCCAGCCCAAAATTTGTGCATGTAGGGACAGAGAAGCATATCCTCATGTGGCCAAAGATGCCAGCGAAGTGGCTGCCAGTAACTGCAAGAAGGTAGAAAGCAAGCACGGGGAAAATGTTGCCAGCAACTAATAAGTAGAGAAAGAAAGAGTTGGAAAGAAAGCAAATAGATGAGAGGGAGGGAGGAAGGGGAAGAGAGAGAGAGCAATGGAAAGAAAGCAAATAAATGGGCTTCCGGTTTGGACTCTGTGAATGGCGGTCGCATCTTCGGGGAGCTCCCGGAGTCGACTCGCCCACGCGTGGCCAAGGGGGGGATCCGCACAAGCGGAGACCCTAAGGAACCTCAGGCAGAGGTTCCGATCCGGGGCGCACAGGGGATGTGCCTCTTTCCCGGCCAGATGGTCGGAAATTGAGGCTCGCCCCATGCCCCAATGGCCCTAGCCGCGGCAGTGCCCCGCACGGGGACTAGCAGAGCCGCCGGTCGTCATTGGGTGATGAAGCGGATAAGCGTTTAAAAGGAAGATGTTCGGCAAAAACTGAGTTGTCAGTCGAAAACAGGAAACGGAGCGAAGCGCATTCCCCCCCAGCGAAAAAGCGCAAGGGAGGAGGGGAAAACTCCCCTCGCCCGGCATAACAAAGACTGAGTTAACAGAAGAGGGGGGGAGTGAAATTTGAAAAGAGCAGTGTTACCTTTTGGTGATTTGTTAAAAGACAAGCGGGAAGATTCGTTTTCTAGCTACGCGGCACGAACTTTTAAAAAGTAAACAATAAAATAAAGATGTCGGGGCAGAAAAAGTTTCAGGAGAAGCCGGCAAAGAAGCTCGGAGGAACTTCCGGTGCTGGCTCCTGCCCCTTGGAGCCGGCTGTCACTCAACAGGAGAGTGATCTTCTGCGCCCTCTGCTGGAGCAAATGCAGAAAATCAATCAAACGCTGACAAGTATGGAAAGTGTTCTCAGCAACCAGCAGTCACAATTGAATGCTACAGCCAAGAAAATGGAGGAAATCGCGCAAAAATGCCTGGTCTCAACAGAAGATACCCAAAAGGTCAAGAAAAAGGTGGATAAAATGGAAAAACATCAAGAAATGCAAGATAAAAAGTTAATGATGCTTCAAATGGAAAAATCAAATTTGACTTTCCGGTTTCAGGGCATCAAAGAAATGGAAAAAGAATATCTCCAAAATATCTTAGCGGAAGCCTTGGCAACACTCACCAGCTGGGAAGTGGATAAAGTAAGGAAGGAAATGGATCTGGTTTACAGAGCCTATTCCAACTTTACAAGGATGAATAACCTGCCGGCAGAAGTGCTAGTCAAGTTTACAAAACAGAAAGTTCGGGATCAAATATTGAGAGCGTCTTCTTCAATGCCTATGAAGATTGGAAAGCAGACAGTTAGGATCTTGAAAGATGTTCCATTTGAAATTCGAATGAAAAGGAAAGCATACAAAGGACTGACCTTATTCTTGCAAAACCACTAAATTAGTTATCGCTGGTTGATTCCAGAAGGACTTACTTTCAAGTTCAAGGATAAAAGGGAGAAGACTGACTCCATTTTCAAAGCTCAAGATTTTTTGAAGGGACACGCCAGTTCAGAGGAGGCAGCACTCGCTAAATGGGAGGAACTGGACAGCGACAGAGACAGCGGCTCGGAGGGAGAAGTCAAGACTCCGGAAGATGTAGGAGCGGGAAAAGGCTCATCATATAATCTGAGAGACGTGAAAGGGAGGCAGCCGAAAGGGAGGAAGCCCAAATCATGAAGGATGGTTCGGAATGCGCAAGAAAAGACTTTACTAACAATAAGCCAAAAGGACACTACTAATACATTAACAGAATTGTTTTTTACAGGTTACGATGAAAGATGATTGATAATTCACAGAAGAAGCCAAAAGAAGATTTGTTTAACACTAACAAAAGATTAACATACTAATGAAAGCATCACCCAACCTTTTCTTAATCCCACTATATACCCTCCTTTTTCTGATATTAAAAGCATAAACTCTCTCCTTTTTAGGAGAGTCAAAAAAAGAAAGAAAGAAAGAAAGCAAATAAATGGGGAGGGGGGAGGAAGGAAGGGAGAAGTGGAAAGAAAGCAACTTTAAATGTGTTCTCCACCCCCCCCCCCCCAGCCGGTTTATCTTGGAGAAGGGATTAAAGAGATAAATGCCTTCTCCAAGTTGGCTGGTGGGGCGGGGGCTTGGAGAATGCCTTTAACTTTAAATGTGTTCTCCAAGCCCCTTGCCCCTGCTGCCATGCTGACTTGGCTTGGAGAAGAGATTTAAAGACAAATGCCTCATCCAAGCCAAGCCAGCTGAGGCCATAAGCCGAGGCTTGGAGAACACATTTAACTTTAGTTGGGGAGGGAAGGGAGAAAGAGAGTGAGAGAGGTGGAAAGAAAGAAAGTGGAAAGAAAGCAAATCGATGGGGGAAGAGGTGGAAAGAAAGCAATTTTAACTTTAAATGCATCCTCCAAGCCTCCCCCCCCCCCATCCCAGCTGGCTTGGCAAAGAGATTTAAAGAGAGAAATGCCTTCTCCAAGCCGACTGGCAGGGGGGAGGGCTTTGAGAATGCATTTAAAGTTAAAGTTGCTTTCTTTCTCTACTCCCCCTGTGGAAGTATGGAAATATGGAAATGGTGGCTAAATTTCTGTACTTTGCTGTCAAGAGGAGAGCTGGTATTAATGTGTCAGTAACTATTGATATTTTCTGCTGGTTTATGATGCTGTGATATGCCATTAAAGGTTGTTGTTGTTGCCTTGGATACCTTTTTGTAAGACTGACAGTGCAGGTGAGCTTGATTCCATTTGAATTGTGTAGTCATGATGTTTTTAGCCTTTGTTAGGAAAATCACTTTTGTTCTCAAATAAACTGTGCAATTTTACCTTACAGGACCTGTCCCGCTAAAACCATCTCCAGACTTTGTTAGCTTGCTTGAGTCCTTGCTTCAAAAGGATCCACTAAAGAGGTTAGCGTGTTGATTTGAAAATCTAGTATCTGTAAATGGTAGATGCTGATGTAAGGATTACCATAGTTTTTAAAAACTGTCAATGTGTTTGGAAGGTTATATAACTTTATTTCATTGTATTTAAAGGTTGACTTGGGTAGAATTATTACAACATCCTTTCTGGAAAGGTGCCTTTATGCCGACTCCCAGTGAATCCGTGTCCAGCCAAGACTCAAGCTTCAGGTACAATAGATTCAGTGGAGATTAATTTTAAAATATGAATACTCTTGTCCTTACTAAATTGTCTTTTCAGTTGTTGTTTTAGTTTTAATTTCTTTAATATGCACTTAGTTTACACAGGTTTGGGATGCAGCCCTATTTTCATGCAGAAGTTCTAGTACTGAATTGTATGTGGAGGAAAGAATACCTCCGGAACTGATATTGGCTATTATGGGAGTTGTTGGCTATTATGGGAATTATACTGCTGTCACTCATTCAGGATGTGCCAGTTGCACTGCTCCTACTAGTTCTAGTTCTACCCTTTGGACTGCTGGAGATCAGCATGATCAAAGACATGGTTTCATTCTTGTTTGGAAGAACTGAACATGAATAAGTATGTTATTAATAACTTTTCTTCTTTGTAGCACTCTGTGCAATGCATGGTACAGTTACTAACTGATTCTGACAAACAATTATATATCTGATTGTATATGTGACACTGATATTAGGTTCAGTGAGTAATTTAGATATTACTGGGGGAGCAGGGAGTGAAATCTACTCTTAGCTGTGTCCTTTGATGGATCTCCACCTGCCTCCTAGAATAACAATCATGAGAACTACACATTTTTCTGCGGTATAGTGAGGTTCTTGGGTTTCTGCGGTGCTATGTTATACAGAATTACTCGAATATAAAGGTAAAGGTTCCCTTGCTCGAAAGCGACTTCCACCGTGAAAAACCTACTAAATTCTGTTTGATATGGTCACACTTGCCTTACATTCACCTCATCAATTCCTTTTTCAGAATGCATTCCCTTAAAGCTGGTTTATAAATAAAAATGTTCCAGCTGTTTAAAATTTTGACCTTAAATAAATTCAGTGACGTTGTATTAACTTCAGAACTAATTTCTTTGTTGTTTGAATAGTGCTGGAAATGCCGAGCTCTTTGTATCTGGAAAGTCTAACGATCAATCAGAGAGTAAAAAAAACGCAGACATCATTATGTGTCCAGAAGCAGAAAATAAACAATTGAACAAATCTTTCAAGCTGGGTAAGAGTACAACATCTGTATGAGTGTGATTTGAAAATCCTAATGAAGATGCATGTTATACATATTTATATTAATACTAGTAGTGTGTTTTATTTGGCAGAAAATCCAGAAGAATTACGTCCAAAAAATGCAGCTGATGGTGAATCAAATGAGTCTATATTTCTTCTCAGGTATGACCTTATACCTATTTTTTCACTTGAATCAGATTCTATCCCTGGCTTTATTATGTGATCAGAGCAGGCTTTAAAAACATGAGTCTGTTCCCATCTTGTATATAGTTTAGACCTCAGACATCAGTTGTTGTGGGGAGCCAAAGAGAATATCTGATACATTCCTGCGCTGCACTAGTTTCATGGCTTAAGACCTACAACTGAAAACTAGTTCTGGGGCTGAACCATAGTGAGCTGCAGCTGAGGGCTGGTCTTGTCACAGGATTTGATGCTTACCAGCAGGATGGTAGAAAATGGTAGTGGACTTGAATTGTGTGTATATAATAGCACACAATCCTGGTTGCTGTGGAAGGTTAATTTAGGAGATAGTTGGAATTTAATTTAAGTATTCTGTTTTGTTTGCATGTGTATGCATTCTCTTTCAGTTCTCGCCCCACTCCAAGAACTAGCACTACACTAGAAATGATACACAATCCTGGTTGCTGTGGAAGGTTAACGTAGGAGGTAGTTGGAATTTAACTTAAGTATTCTGTTTTGTTTAAATGTGTATGCATTCTCTTTCAGTTCTCGCCCCACTCCAAGAACTAGCACTACACTAGAAATGAGCGGCACGACTACTGGTCTGACTCCAAATTCAGCACACCAAACACTGCCTCCTTCAGTAAAGGTGAGTGCAGGTTGAAGAAAGGAGGAGGCTAAACAAGTTTTATTTATTTATTATTTATTTATTATTTCGACTTACTATACTGCCCTAACCCCAAAGGGTCTCTGGGCGGTTTACATGGTATGTTCTAAGAACACTCAATCCCTGACTAAGGCCACATGATGTAGGGGTGGGACTGCCTACCCGCACCCTAGTGGTGGGCCTGTTGTAGCTTTCTGGCTTGGCATTTCTTTCCGGCGGTCTCTGGTGTCTCCCTGGGAACGACTGCTTCGTTGGCGGGACTGTTCCTGGCGCATGCCCATGCTCGCTCCAGCCTCAGCTCCGTCCTATTCGGCTCCGCCGCATCCACGAAACATGTCATCGTGCGTCTTTCTGGTCTCCGCCATCGTCTGCCGCTCGATGTTGTACCGGCCACCAGTGATCACTCTGCCGGCTCTCGTTGCTGCATCGCCACCACACCTCGCCATCCAGGGTCTGCTGCCACCGATGTTCTCGCCACTGTAGGTGCTGCCGCCACCACACACCTCAACGGAATATTGCTATGTGGAGATTAAATTATCAGTAGAGCAACTAACAGTGATCATAACTAGGAAAAAAATAGCAAAGAGCCTTTAAGGTGCCACAAGTCTAACAAATGTGTGCCATGAGATTCTTTGTTATATTAACTGCAGTAGACTAAGGCTGCTTTTACACAGCAATGATTTTCTGTGTGGCTTTCATTGTTATGAATGCAGGGCTGTAGTGGCTCCATTCTGAACAGATACGTTTGTTGTCTGAACGTGTGCAGATGACACAAATGTATTTGAGGGGTTTTAACCCCCCTCCGTATATGTTAATGTTGATTTCAGATTTTTATGCAAACCTGGGATGTGCCCCAGATTTGTAGAAAAATTTGTTTAGCTGCCAGGTGGCCCCAATCCATGGATTTAGCTATCCTCAGATGGGGGCCATCAGCAGCTAACAATATATAAATAATAATTTATGGCCCCGTCATTGACAACGGAGAGTGCACAGAGTCATTTTTCAACCTTAAAGCTGGCAGAGGCTGCTAAGGAGGAGTGCAATCCCCCCCCCATAAAAAGCAGAGGTAACAGGAAGTTTTATGGAGGCACTTCTCAAAGTATGAAATTCAACTTTTTGGTGTATTGACCAGGAAAAATCTCTGTTTGCAATTTATGCATGAGTGGAGTCCCTTGTTGTAATAAACGCCTTCAGGGTGCTCCCGCTGCCGAGGATCACAGGCATAGAGTGTGCCGGCCTAGTGTGGGAAGCTGGGTCTCAAGGAAATCAGCCTGGCCACAACCAGGGCTAGGGCTTTCTTGGTGGTGGCTCCGTTGGAACGAGCTCCCAGGAGAGATCAGGACCCTGCGGGACCTTATACAGTTCTGCAGGGCCTGTAACATGGAGCTCTTCCACTAGGCCTTCAACTAATGAGCTGCCTTTAACAGCTGAAGATAGAGAGCCCTGCCCCCTGGAGTCGCCAACAACAGCAGTCTGTGCCAGCCGCCTAAAGGAAAGACCTACGAGCCAACTGCGAGAAGGGACCACTGAATAATGGCTGCCATTGTTAAAGAACATAATGATTACTAGCCCTTTATTATATCAGATGGTTTTAGTTGGTTTTAAAACTGTTTTAATTGTAGTTATACATTTTATTCTGTGTAAGCCGCCCTGTTCCAGCTCCTGCCAACCTAGCAGTTCGAAAGCAAGAAATTGCAAGTAGATAAATAGGGACCACTTCAGTGGGAAGGTAACAGCGTTCCGTGCGCCTTGGTGTTTAGTCATGCCGGCCACATGACCACGGAAACGTCTTCGGACAGCGCTGGCTCTTCGGCTTTGAAACGGAGATGAGCACCGCAACCCTAGAGTCGGATTCGACTGGCTTTCGAGCAAGGGAACCTTTACCTTTACCTTTAAGACGCCCTGAGCTGGCCTTGGCTCGGAGGGCGGGGTATAAATTTGATAGATAAATAGATTTGTATATTTTTCATCTTCATGCCAAATATTAAAGGGAACATAGCCATGGTACATATTACTAATATTTTACTTACATTCTAGGTTAAAAACACATACTGCAGTCAGCAGGATATAGAGTTCAAAATGAAGGAACTTATCTACACGGAGTCTGACCTTAGTGTAACTCCGATTATTGACAACCCAAAGGTAACATTAAAACTCTCTTCCCACACAGCTCTTCTGAATGTCTTCAGGAACCGCATGCCATTTGTTGCACTGCAAAAATATAATTTTACCTCTTGTAAATGTTTCCACCTAGTGGTCATACTAGTTTTCTACAATTTTATGTAAAACACATATACTGGTAAGGTGGATAGTATTCGTACCAACTGTGTTAATGGAAAGAAATGTTTAGGCATTGTGTCTTTTAGTATTTTTCTTGGTGTGTGTTCTGAACGTTGTGGCCCATGGAATCAGTTTAATGTATTAAGATCTTACATTCTGTGTGTGTTCCCCCCCTGTTGTCCTCTTGTATGGTTTTATAGTGTTCTTTCATGCTTGTGGGTGGTTATTCCACAGAATCTTCATAGTAATTCTGTGAAGTCATTTGGATTGAGTGAGAGTGATCTGCCCATGATAATCTGGTGAGGGATGAGCTCAATGGTTGGCAGGGCTTTGAACGCTGATCTCCTTGGTACAAGTCAAACACTCTAACCACACAAAAGTTATTAGTAAAGTGATAAAGGAAAGCTGAGTTTTAGAACTAAAAGGGATTTTGCAGCAGATAGCAGGCAGAGATCCCGGGCAACGTAACATCAGCGAGCCCTTGTGCTGCAGTGGTTTGACTGGGATCTCGGAGACCCAAGTATGAATCCCCATTCCGCTATGGAAACTAGGCTGGGTGATCTTGGGCTAGTCACACACAGTCAGCTTAACCTACCTCACAGGGTGGTTGTGAGGATGAAATGGAGGAGAGGAGAACAACATAAGCAGCTTTGGGGAGAAAGGTGGAGTGTAAATGGAGTAAATAACAAATGAAAATGCCTGGAATAATACAGTCATTTTGGCCTGGTGCTGAAAAATCAGCAGGTTGGGCACCGAAAAAAGAATTGGGGACTTTCATCTGATGATTTCCTTTTGGGTACATATTTTATCGTACACAAGCGGAAATGTATTTTTTTCCCCTCATGAAGAGGGTAGTGCTAAAAAAAAATTCATTCACTGTATCCGAACATGGTTATCTACTCTCCCAAGGCTGATGGCTGGGGCCCCCTTGTGGTCATTCTGGGGAAGCGTTAAAGAGACTTTGGGAGTAGATTAACAGAAGTGTCCCCTCTGTTGTGGACATGAGCTTGCTTCTCTGCTTTTGCAGCTGCCCTTGCAACCCATGAAACTGCACTTAGTTGATGTTGCATTCCGTGTATGTTTTATTGGGTGTAGGGCAGGTGAAGGGATTTCACAGACATGGCTACATGACAGTAAAAGCCTAGGCTTTCACGGTTGCTCACTTCACCTTTGAAGGTGGAAGGGTATAAAAGCAGGCAGTGAAGATCTTGAAGCTTGAGCAGGTGCACATGAAAGCAGACAGTCCTGCTTCCAGAGCATTTAGGGCTTTGAAGGCTATGGCCAGTACTTTCAATTAAGCCTGGTAATAAACAGCATATTAGAAGAAGAAGAAGAGATTGGATTTATACCCCGCCCTTCACTACCCAAGGGAGTCTCAGAGTGGCTTACAAACTCCTTTCCCTTCCCCTCCCCGCAACAGACACCCTGTGAGGTGGGTGGGGCTGAGAGAGCTCTGAGAGAAACTGCTCTTTTTCAAGGACAGCTGTGCCAGAGCTTGTGACTGACCCAAGGTCACATCAGCAGGTGCAAGTGGAGGAGTGGGGAATCAAACCCGGTTCTCCCAGATTAGAGTCCACACACTTAAGCACTACACCAAACTGGTTATGATCCAAAGACCTGGTTCTCCATTGCCATGGGGGCTGTGGCTCCTGAAATAGCAACTCCCCAAGCTCATGTTGCCATGGGGGCTGTGGACTTGTGTTTCTTGAAGAGTAGCTCCTGAAATAGCAACTCCCCAAGCTCATGGTAAACTGCTTTTGAAACTGAAGGAAACTTTCAAAGCAGCTGTGGCAAGGCTACCCAGAAACCAACTGCTGGACAGAGCAGGACATACCCTTGGGCCCAGCAGCAAGACTCACCTGGGTGGACCAAGGGCAGAAAGGTGCAGTAGCCTCAGCAACAGTGTGACCTTTGCAGTCTGGCCCAGGAAGACTCTAAAGGGTGTGAAGGCAGTGAGCAAGCCTGGGTGGAAGAACAATGGCTCTCTAGGCCCAGGTGTTCTGAAGCAAGTCAGGGAACAGAGAAGAAAAGGGCAGCTCTTAACTCAAGGGCCAGGTGTAAAGCTGGGGCTATAAAAAAGGAAGGAAGGAGAAATGGGAGGAGGCTGGCAGGAGAGGAAGGCAAAAATTGGGAGGCAGGTTGTGATGTTGTGGCTCTTCTATGTAATGCGGTGTGACCCTGAGGATGGGTGAAGTGAACCACACCTTCAGGGGTCTGGATTGATAAATAAAGGAACTTGCATAAGGAAACAGTGACTGGGCTTGTGCTCTCAAGACCCCGTGAACTCCAGGTATGATGTCCCCCTGTCCCCTGAGGGCGCTACAGACGTTTATAATATAATGAGGAGCTGCTTTTCAAATCAAAGAGTTTAAAAAAAAAACCCCTAAACTTTAGTTAATTGAAAATTCAGGAAAATGGGAATGCCATTTAGCTACTTATATTGATACTGATGTCATCATAGTCTAAGTTTACATTGTGAACTTGTTCTCCAGCTTTCATGATAGTAACAGTTTTGTGGAGGTTGACTGAAATATTGGTAGCTCGTGGGCTTATTATGATAAAAAGTACTATGTGAGGATACATGCAAATTTTATACGTATCAGATGCTCAGAATTGCCTCAAGTCAAGACCATTTTTTTTTTCAGATAGTAAAACAAGCACCAGTGAGATTTGACTTGAAAAATTTACATATACCAGCCCATTCAGGTAAAGTCTGCTGAAGTAATTATAAAATATGAAGCATTTCTAAAATACATAAAATATGCACAATGGCAGATTATTCTTTGATACTAAAGAAAGTCTTGGCATCCACTGAACTGCTATTTGATCTCTTGTATCTATTTGATTTACTTTGAACGCTCACAAATGCTATTATGTAAAAGGCGTACTTGAGTGGGTGGGGAAAGTTGTTATCATTGTTATTTTAAAATTAAATACATTTTGAGCTCCTGTTTTATGTATGTTATGGTAGTCAGTATTAGGTATGTTTGATGTAGTGTTTGTCTTAATGAGGAAAAATGCAACAGGATGGTAGACTGTAACAGGGATGAGTCAGATGACCCTGTCATACATTGCTGCTTGATATTTGTTTCTTACATGCTCAGAAATTGCAGTTAAAGTACAATACAGGTTGCGCACTTATTGAAACCAAACCAGACTTACGTATTCTATTTCAGTAGTGAAGGTGCTTTGGTTCTGGTAATGGAACTTCTTTGTGTCAAATGCAGTTCTGCAAGCCTGTTTATGTGAAATGTGAACTTGCCTTGAAGGATGATCACATGGAACTGTCTTGTTGAAGGGTTTCTACGTGCTCGTTTTTTCCAGCAACAATGCACTATTTTTGAATCCATTTTTGGAATGTTGCCCCTTTTGTGGGATATAGGTTTTTGTGTGAACTCTGCAATGACCTGTTGTATCAGATACTAGAACAAGAGAGTCTGCATCCACAGCCTCCAGAAGTTACCTGGGAAATGGCTCCTAAGCGTGGTGTAAAGTTATGGCAAGTTAAGGAGGGTTGCTGAATTTATTCTTGTCCATTATTCTTTTACATTTGGAAAGGGAAAGTTTTAGTGACCTAATTCCATGTAAGATAGTCGGGGGGAAAATCACCTTGTGGTTTGTCAAATGAAAGATGTACCTACTAATTTGAGAGCTGGTGTGGTGTAGTGGGTTAGGGTGTCAGACGAGGATCTGGGATATCCTGGTTCAAATCTCCACTCTGCCTTGGAAGCTTGCTGTGTGACTTTGTACCATTCACATATTCTCAGCCTAAACTACCGTTGTTGTGAGGATAATATGGAGGAGAGCAGAATGATATAAGCCACTTTGGTTCTCCTTTGACAATAAAGGAGGGCTTTAAATGAAGAAGGTAAATAAGCATAATTTCAGCATGACTTATGCAGGCAAGTTTCAGCTGTGGCCCTAATATCGCAGTAAAGGTAAAGGTTCCCTTGCTGGCAAGCCAGTCGAGTCCGACTCTAGGGTTGCAGTGCTCATCTCCGTTTCAAAGCCAAAGAGCCAGCGCTGTCCGAAGACATTTCCGTGGTCATGTGGCCGGCATGACTAAACACCAAGGCACACGGAACGCTGTTACCTTCCCACTGAAGTGGTACCTATTTATCTACTTGCAATTTCTTGCTTTCGAACTGCTAGGTTGGCAGGAGCTGGAACTAGAGACAGGAGCTCACTCCGTCATGCGGCAACTCGGGTCTCAAACTGCTGAATTACTGACCTTCCACAGCCTGCAGTTCAGCGTCTTAACCACTTGAGCCACCGCAGCTCCTTAATATCGCTGTAGTGTTATGCAAATGACAAAGAAGCACAAGTTCCTTAGAGTGCTGAAAAAGAAGACTTTAAAGAGACAAAAAATGGTCAGGGGAAGGAATGATTAAAATAAGAAGGTTGCATTTCAAATTCCTACTGGATTTTAAAATGTTGAAGGGAGTGTCATATTCCACAGAAGCTAGTAACAGATGTCAAATTGGTCTTAATCAGCCAGGACTGTACTCTGTATTAGACAGTAATGTTCTGCAAACTAAATGTTTTTTTTTTTGGTAAACAAATTTTATTTTCTCAGGAGGACTCCACTAGGATATTGAAATCTTGTTCTGGTAAAGCTTCACATTTTCTAGTGTAGGACTGTCACATTAACAGGTCTCTCTCTTTTAAATGTTTTCCATGGCATATAGCTAAATTTTGAATGTATGGTGTAACACTTAATATACAATGTATTTTTAGTGAGAGAGACAAATGTGTGATATGAAAGATTTAACTGGCTGCATTGTACTAAATAAAAAGCCCATTTTAAAATAAGCTTGTAGCAGAGAATGATTAGAAAAACAAAAGATTATTATCTGGCAAGCATAATTTCTTCCATTAGTCATTTCCTTAAGTACTATTTAGAGGTATTGTTATGAATGTCTTTGCTAAATGGATTTGAGCCAAAAACCTGACTCTTGTGGCAGCTATATTGAAATCTTGTTCTGGTAAAGCTTCACATTTTCTAGTGTAGGACTGTCACATTAACAGGTTTCTCTCTTTTAAATGTTTTCCATGACATATAGCTAAATTTTGAATGTAATGTGTAACACTTAATATACAATATATTTTTAGTGAGAGAGACAAATGTGTGATATGAAAGATTTAACTGGCTGCATTGTACTAAATAAAAAGCCCATTTTAAAATAAGCTTGTAGCAGAGAATGATTAGAAAAACAAAAGATTATTATCTGGCAAGCATAATTTCTTCCATTAGTCATTTCCTTAAGTACTATTTAGAGGTATTGTTATGAATGTCTTTGCTAAATGGATTTGAGCCAAAAACCTGACTCTTGTGGCAGCTGAAATCTCTGTTTTGTTTCTTGCCTAAAGATAAGCATGGAAAAATAGAAGATCTTGTTTCATTATGTATTCAACAAATAGAATTTTATTTTTAGACAGAGTACACCAGGAAAAATTAGTCCTGACATCAGTGTGACTTAAAGCATGCAGT